GCACCTCATATAGCCTGTCCAACATTGCCAACCTTAAACCATTCACAATCCATGAGTCAGGTCCCCCCGTAATAATCAAAGTCTACAACTTCTGGATTTTTATCTTGGAGCCCTCACACTTTCTAAGTCTGCCACGGCTACAAAGGCTATTTTTTCCTTAATGGCAGCAGCTCTTCCAGCAGTAACTTATCCCAGCAGCAGGATCCTTAAGAGAAAAAGCAAATGACACAAGGCCAAGGAATTTGTAATACCATTTGTTTCAAAGGTCAGCTCTATTTAGTGCTGAGGGAAAATTCTGTTCTCACTTCCATTAGTGAAATTCCTTGCTGGCGACTGGACCTCAAAAGAAGTTGCATTTATATAACTAAAAGAAAAATTTGGCTTCTTGTTCATCATGGAATTTCTCTCTGAGGTAGCTCTGTCTTTTTCAGAGAACATTTGCTCCAGCTAAGACTCAGGCTTCTTGTTTGACAATTTCCTTATTGGATATATTTATTTTTTATTGTAGGTCAGGGACTGAATCTTGGACTTGCTGTCACTGCTGTGGGTAGGTCAGGCATGTCTTAGAACTCAGATGATCTCTGTCCAATTCCTCCTCCTTTCTGTCCCCCAGCTCACCCAGGGCCCACGGTGATTGGAGTCAGGGAATGGAGAGGAAGAGGATAACTACTCCTGCCCTTCTTCCAACTCTCAGAGCTGGTACCAAGATGGGAAGTGGAGAACATTTCCCCTTCTCCTCTGCTCCTGAATTTTGGGTTAAAGCATCTGGTGATGACTCACCTTGCCTCTTATTCCAACAGCCCAAGGCTCTAAGCTGGCCCTACAGGTTCCCCAGGGCTTCAGATCCCAGGCCAAGGTATTTACAGTCTGAAATACAGGCATACTAAGGAGTTAAGTGCTGGGTTCAATGCCAGATTTTATACAGGGGACACGTGTAGCCAAGTACTAAAGTCTTAATCTCCTTTTCACATCAGTAGGCCTCCCACTGCATTTCCCCACTTGGCATAACTTTGTATGTTATCTTGGTGGAATCATCCTGAGTCCATCTGCGCCCTTTAGTGCTACTGAGCAGTGAATCATGGCCCAATACACCACATTGGTTTCTGGGTTGTCCAGCCTGTCCAGATCATGCTGCAGCTCCCTGCTTTCTTTCCAAAAACAGGGAAGGGACAGGGAGAAGAGAAGATGCTTGTTTAGGTCTTAGTGTGACATAGAGCTGAGATCTAGTTGGGGTGTTCACCTGGGCTCAGGAGTCTGGAAATACTTCCAGGTCATGCAATTTGGGAATGGTAAGAACCATGCTATCGTTAATTACATTACTAATTTATGCTAAATTATGTTTTCCGCTTGAAAAGTCATCACAAAGAAAAACGGCTATGGTCCTTGTGTGGGACAAAAAAGAGGCAGCAAAGTGTTTATAGAAACAAAACACTTTTTGCCTCATTAATTTGCCTCGTAAAGCTTACTGAACCTAAAACACCACCTGTAACAAAGTAATATTAAAAGCCAGTCATTCATGGGCACTGTGAGTAGAACTGCCCAAGCCTGTAATCAGATCAGTAGGAAGCCCCAGCACCTTTGTACAGGGAACGGGGCTGTGTGAGGTCCTGGCTCTGCAGCAAGAGGAGTGCAGAAGGATCCTTCTCCCTGCAAGAAAATGTTCTGGGCTTGTTCTGATCTGCTGTTCATTGTGCCACACCACTGGTCCAGTGACACAGGCCACCCCTTGCTGAGATGACCAGGAAAAACTGCTTGGATGGGATTAAAATCTCCAGTAATTCTTTTAAAATTACAAGTAATGCTGCAATCATGTATGGATCCACAGGGCTCAGTCCTTGCACAAGAGCTTCTCTGGACCCAGGCACAAGAGGTCTGAGACTGGATGTGCTGGACGTAAGTCTATGAATATTTTGTCCACAGTCTCCAGAATCCTCATAGATATTTGCAGTAATCCCACAGCAAGAAAGGTGTTAAAACCACACCTAGACATAATCTGACTTGATCATTGTGTTCCCTTGACAGGTAGCTTGACAAGTTAGTTGCCAAAACTCAGCTCAGGTTTCTGAACTGAAAGGTGCTGTGTCCTGGCAGGCTTAAGGCAGGTAATATTTTGCTAACGCCAAGAATTTAGGGCTCAAACATGTTGTATAGGAGGAAGCAGCTGAAACCTGCACATTCCTGAGGACCTGCTTCCTCTCTTAAGATGCAGGAGGTAAATCAACACCTCAAACAGGAACTCTATGTAGCCTATTTACGATTGGATAATGAAAATTTAAGGTCAGAACACCCAGAAACTATGATGTTTGATCTAGGAATGTCAGTTTGGTATGTTAAACCTCCCTTTGACTCATGATCCTTCACAAACAGTCATTCTACCTCTTAACCCCGTGCAACTAATTGCCAGAGTAGTACCACCATGACAGAGACTGAAGTGGGACAGGTCATACACAACCCACGCTATACTGCTTCCTTCCTGCCCACAGCAGGCACCAGTGGGGGCTGCTGGGCAGGGCACTGACCTCTCACGCGAAAAAACAGGTTTCCTTTTCCTGCTCCACCACAGAATTCCCATGCGAGGCCTTTGGCAAACAAGTTGGTGTCTGAGTTTCCCACCTGTGAAGTGAGAATAGAACTTCTCCTCTTTCCAGGAGCACCTTGAGGATATATACAGTAAATTCTGAGCTGCTCAGGTTAGAAGGAGGGGTTTAGATAAGCACCGTCATGGACCAAAAGAAACTTAATCCAGCAGGAGAAAGGGAACAGTCATGCTGAACTCAACTTCTAAAAAAAAAAAAAAATAAATTAAATACTTTCCATTGCTGTTTACTGATTTTAATACATCAGATCTGCTTTTTCTTTGGATGTTTTTTTGTGTCTCAACAAAGACCAATGTGTCCTGACCAATTGTACAAAATACAGCTAACAAAGAAATACAACATGCTCTCACTTTCAAGTTTTTCTTTTTGAAAGATCGAAGAGAAATGTCCTATTTGCATCTCAGTTTGAGAACTCGTGGTTCACCATTATCCACAGACAAGACCTTTCTGTGCAGCTGGACAGCCTGGCACTGGAGCGTGAAATCCATCAGGACACTAGTGCTCAGAGACCAGTTTCACAGTATATAGATAGAACTGGAACAAATAACCTATCAGAGTTTTAAGCTCTCTTATTTTTTCATATGTAGATGGCAAAATGATGAATATCAACATTTTTTAAAGTTATAAAGCAAATTAAAAAATACAGTGATTACACAAAGTGCAACAGGAGTCAGCATTATCTGGGTTTGGAAACTAAACAGAAAGAGGACACTGGTCTAGTGATTTTCCAGTGCTTTTTCTTTAACTTTCTATGAAGGGCACAGATTTGCGTTATCACTGGTTCTGCCTCTCTCACCTTTCACAGCTGTGTTTTACAGCTGCATTTAAGGCAGCATTTTACAGCAGCATAACTTTACTCACACCAAGAGTTAGAACTAATCTACACAGCCAGAGAAATTATGAGAATCTGAATAAGCCAATCCTGTACATATCAATAATCACTTTGGGTTAATTCCAGGCATTCAGTGAGACAGAAGCGGAGTCAGGACTTCTGTGAAACGCTTGTGCATACTTTTTGAGCAAGTTCTAACAAAGTTTTAGATTTCTAAAATGTGCACTTTCATTTCTCTTCAGAAATAAGCAACAAACTCTTACTTCTCTCTGCACCCTTTGAAGGAAAGTCTCCTCTAAGAGAGCTTATTTACCAGCAGCTACTACACAGTGGTACCCAAAATACCATGAAATACTTTCTAAGACTAGGGACCTGCATGGGATCTTATTCCTGCACTGCAGCTTCACATCAAAGAGAGATGTTTGATGAAAACACCATTTGGTATCTGTGGTCTCATTCCTTTCACCTTAAATTCATGGAGTTAAATTACCTCCCTATGTCCTCCCCTATTCCTTCCATTCTTCCAAGAGGTCTAAGCTTGTGTTCTCCAAGGTCATAGGCTCGGGGGAATTTTTGTATGGGGAAGAGTGAGATTTATTAGAACCAGCTTGCATATATCACCTATAATACCTATCACAAGGATTATGTGTTGTTCCCATATCGCTATTTGCATACAGACATCCCAGCATGCACATACCATTTCTGAGTCACACCTATCTTTTTAGCTCCCAGTATGAAATAATACAGAATGAACTACCAGGGGTTTTTTTTGTTGTTTTTTTGTTTGTTTGTTTGTTTGTTTGTTTGTTTGTTTTGTTTTTGCAAGAATGTAACTGCTTGCTCTGGTATGTCCTTCCTTAGATCTTCCTCAAAGTGCAGAAAAAATCCTTTCATACCAACAGAAAATTTCAATTCTTTTACTCGTTTTTAGCTATGAAAGCTGTTCTTCGTTACTGTAGTTTTTACCTTTATCTCTTCTCTGCCCTTTGTTTGTCTTTGGTACTTAAGAGGGAAAGTTCAGCCTTTCCTCACTATACAAACAGTTTCCATGCTACGCTAATCACACTCTGCTATCTCAACTCCTACAAGTAGCTTAACAGACTTGAATAACACACACCAATCATGATCTTTACATCTTGGGTTTGAACTCAGAGGTTAAATGCAAATGCCAGCTAAACTCGGACAGCTTTTTAATTGACACCATGGGTGGGATTCATACTCTGTAGGTTTAAATAGGCAAAAAGTTAAGATGTTTCCCCATCATGCCAGCTGGCTGCAGAGACTGCAACTGTGGCACACAGCCTGTGGTGTGCAGTGCACATCCAGGTTGCAGGACGAAGGAGAAGTCACACCAAAGGTCAGGGTCCATTTACAGTATTGTAGCTGACTTTACTCTTCTCACTAATACTGAGGCTGTGTCATGTGGCAAGCTGCTGTACAAAACTTGCACCAATGTAAATGTGCCTTCTCAAGAAATCTTAGCCCTAAGTTTATATGCATAGCGTCAGCTCAGTCAAATTGCAAGACAGTTTTTTGATACTTTCCAAAGACAGAATTAAGAACCAGGCTACTGCCATAAATATAAGTAACTTTAATGCTGCCTAGCATAAGTCTGGTACATACTTTCATCCATATACTCCAGTGTAAATGTATTTTATACAATATGAAGTATTTTTAAAAGTATACGGCTCTAGATAAAATGTTCACAAAACAAGTTTCAATGCAAGTAGAGAATTAGAAAAAAAAAAAATAAAATCAGCCAGAGTACAAAATCTTTGGAAGATAAAAATTTCAGAAAACAAGATATATGAAAACATCCCATTGCAGCAATTCAGGACGACCAAATGGTTCCAGTAGTCAGAAGGGCTGCCACTCACTGCTATGTCATCCATAAGAACCTGTCCTGGGCCAGTAGGGACTGCAGGGCACTACTGAGGGTGTCTGGCTCTCAGAGATCCTTGTACCTGACAAGTTTGATAAACTAACCTTCATAGCAGACACCCTTGTTGGCTCAAGGAGAATGAGTAGGCCTGGGAATGAAGAAAGTCCTGTCTTCCCTTACCCAACCACTACTGGTCTCTGTAGAATATTCAGGTGCACTAGCAAGATGTGGTGAGCAAGCTCTTTTACGAATGACAGGTAGCCTTTATTCTCCCAGGTTACCAATTTGGCACTATTCACAAGAGCAAAAATTATTTACTAGTATTATAAAAAAAAAAAGTTTCACCATCTGCAAAATGGCATGAGTGTTAGGGAGCAGAATGCAATGCTATTGTTTAGCTTTGTTAAATTAATTTTCTGTATATAATATTGCATGTCATTATACAACAGGGATATTCAAGAGAAGCTCAATTAAACTCCGTGCCAAAAGCAAACTCCATAGTGGGTGGACTGCTTTGCATTCCACTGCTTTCAGTAAGATGTTGCATAGGCATCTGTCCAAATAAAAACACCTTTACAACACTGCAGATTTAGAATGCAGCAAATAATACACTGCAAGAATTGAGGTCAGACATTATTCACCATTTGGTAACATTCCATTCAAATGATATTGACTCACATAAGTAACAAATGCAGCACTTGAAGTAACAAAACAAAGCTGTACTCCAACAAAGTAAAACAGTGCAAATATTCCTGTTAAACAAAAATATACCATGTATATACACACACAACATAAATGCACTGTTTTGTTTTGTAGTATAAATAGATCTGATTAAACTAAATTCCTAAAACTAATGAACTACTGACTGACAGTCCCAAGCAGTTTCCATCTACTAAGGAATACAGTAAGCTTTAAGGATCAGATGACCATAGCTGGATATGGCTATAAAAGAGTATCAAAAGATTTCACGGGATGGATATTTAAAATATTTTCTTTGTACATCGAAGTTAATAATATATATACTAAGTTGGTATCACAAAGTCAGCTTGGGATCTGATCATATGAGGAGCAGCACACAGAAAACCCATGACTCCACAAGGACCCTCAAGGCTCTACCTGCATGGAATGCACTGTAACGCTGCAAAACACTGAAGGCTCAATCACAGGATTTAACAAGGAGGGAGCTTTTTAGCTGCCTATGCAGTTAACATGTTGGTTTAGTTTCCATTTTCTTCCTCTTCTGATTTAGCACTAGAATTCTGTTATCTGCTAATGACACATCTGTTTATCCCTGAACTCTGTAATACCATACAATGAGTATGCTTCTAAAGAGTACACAATAAAAGTAAAAATTAGAAAGGGAAGAGATGGAAACTTGTTTTCTGTTAAGGAAATTCTGATTAGGGGTTATTTGCATTTCAGTACTTTAAAACTGATTTTAAGCAAAAAAAAGTCTTCTTGGAATTAGATTACAGTAAAACAGACAAGTAGCACTTGATTTGATCTGAAGTGGAATACTCAGGCATTAACTTTTCTTCAACTGCTATAGCCTCCATCTCCTTAATGCCAACGCTGTGCTGCAACCATAACAAACAGCTGTTGCAAAGGCAAAAATCTAAAGAAGCAGGGGAAAAAAAGAAGAAAAAAGAAAAAAGTGAATCACACATTATATTGTTCTGCATTTTGTTTCTATTCTAAATTAATACAGGAACACAAATAATTTAAAAGTCATCTTCCCCAACCAAAATGCCTAAGGTAAAGATAGGTTGGGGATCCTCTGAAGTTCTCATGAACCTCTCTGTTGTAACTTCATGTTATTGCTTTTAACTGACTTGCTTGCTTCAGAAGACTTTTTGAAATAGAATATGAAACAGAATGTCTGCATGAGTTATGGTACAAAGTAATCATGTGTATGTATGCTGTGTGTTTCAGTTTTCTCTTATCTAGACTGATCAAATATTAATCTCAGATTTGTTTCCAGTTGATGCCTTTACCAGCAAACAACTAAGATGGCATCCCTCTAAACAGCAGAACTCATTTTACTTGCAGAAATAGAGAAACAGCTTCAAATCTGGCCTCCTTGACCAGATAACCAACCATTAGAACACCTTCCTGAGAAATGCCGGGAAGTTACTATTGCTGAAGAACTGAACTGAACAGATTTGAACTGAAGTCATGCCACAGCAAACTTGAATATATAATGTAAACCAGAAGGAAGAAATGAGAAACTGAATTGCTGAAAAAAACCTTCTCATCTTGTCCAGTGCTAATGATGGATTCTGTCTCTTAGAACATATGAATTCAATCATGTCATAACAACCTAACACTTGCCTTCCATATACATGCTAATTTGACAAAGTTTTGAACGTATGCTAGAACTACTGTAGAACTACCACCCATATAAAATGAATATACCTATTTTTAATCACAGTATACAAAAGTAATTTTAAAAGGCAAAATGTTAGCAACTTTTTTTTTTTTTTCATTGTACATCACAGGACTGTTTTAATGAAACGTTTCAAAGGATTACAATTCTTGTGTTCTGTATATCCTGACTTTCTAATTATATACTTTTGGAAAAAAAATGCAAAGACACTAAATACTACAGTTACCTGATTCACCATTTCCCAGCTTCTCTTAATTAAAAATACTGAGGCAAGTTACAAAAGTCTCCTCCTCCCTTATCTTGACAGGGATTTGAGGGGCTTGAATAACTGAATTCTCCCTTGGAAAAACAGTAAGGAAGGGGGAAGGGGGCTCCTGGAGTTCCCAGTACCATGCTGTCAGATAAAATGACTGAAGTGACCATATATTCAGTGGGATCTGAACACATTGAACAGGGATTGAAGAGTTACACTTAAGGGTAGAATTTGAGATACTTGCTTAGTATAAAGCCCTTAGTTCAGGCACAGCTATGAGACACCACTTCTGTCCTTGTGGTATTGTTCTGGTTTCAGCAGAAATAAAGTTAATTTTCTTCCTAGTAGCTGGTGTAGTGCTGTGTTTTAGATTTAGGATGAGAATAATGTTGATAACACACTGATGTTTCAGTTGGTGCTGAGCAGCATTTATACTGTCAAGGACTTACCAGCTACTCATGCTGCCCTGCCAGCAGAGGCTGGGGGCACACAATAAGCTGAGAGGAGACAGAGCCTGGGCAGCTGACTCCAACGAGCCAAAGGAGTATTCCATACCATGACATCATGCCCAGTATATAAACTGGGGGCAGCTGGCTGAGGGCACGGGGGAGGAGTGAGGCAGTGGCTGTGCGGTGCTTAGTTGCCAGCCAGGGTTAAACCACAACGGCCATATGGCCATGCAGGGATCAGATGTGCTCGAGTGGGCTACTGGCAAGTGGGTAATGGTGAGGTACTCTGGACTTGGGAGACTGACATACCCACCTTGCCCCTTCAGAGACTGGCTTGCCAAAGCAAGAGGCCTTTCCTTTTTATTGTCCTCTTGCTGAGAGAATGTGAACCTTACACCTTATGTTCATCATGCCCAGAGCAGCTGTGGCTGCCCCCTCCCTGGAAGGGTTCAAGGCCAGGTTGGACGGGGCTTTGAGCAACCTGGTCTGGTGGAAGGTGTCCCTGCTCATGGCAGGGGGGCTGGAACTAGATCATCTTTATGGCCCCTTCCAACCCAAACAATCCTCTGATTCTATGATATGTTTTTATCTTAAGATAAACTGAAGGCATTTACTGTGCAAAATTTACGGTGTGTTTAGTTTTAAGGACAACAGATACCTACAGAGGGTTTTAGAAGCTTTATAAATATATACAGTTCCTTGAGGTATGCAAGACCCTCTGAATGGTACAAAAAAAATAAAAGCAGTAGTTTTAGTTCTTCAAATTAAGCCAACTGGCACACCTCTACTCCTCCTTCAGGAGTCCAGCCAGAGAGAAAGCTAGAGCCTGGTATATTTTCTGACTCAGCTACACACACCCACATCACCAGATACAGTGATTTGGTGATGATGCAACTACAGTGAGAAATGTGCAGTCTGAGCTTGGGCTGTCAACAAAAGCACTCTAATCCTTGCCATAAGAGACAGCATGGCTCTTACAAATACCTTTTATGACTGATGTACTAAGTACATTTCTGGAGCTTCACAAGGAGCTAGTCCAAGGCTTTTTTGTCATGGACTCAACCCAGGACACATGTTCAGGACTATCTAAATGGTATAAAAAAGCAAATGGAAGTTTTGAACACTGACATGAAATTCACACCTGATGCTCTGATGAAGGCTCACTTCTCATCTTTTCATTCTATTCTAATAACCAACATTGCTTTCACAAAATATCTCCTCTAAAAATTACAAGCTGTAGTGATCATATATTTAAAACATAGCAAAGAGTAGCAACTGAGCACCTATCACATTAGCATTAGCTCACTCCAATATTTTTTGCACGTCACTATTAGACAAGATTTGCTGTTCTCAAAGACAATCCTTTCTCTCACAGCTCCCCTTTCTATTCCAGCTTGCTGTTAAGTTCCCAAGTTGAATGGTTGGCTACAAGAGCTTGCAACAAATTTCTGTTCCCCAGCTACAAATATATGAAACACATACCGAGGCTGCTATGCTTATGTTATATTCATGATCAGCTAGAATCTTCTCTTGTGTGGTGGAATTGAATTTGCGGGGAAAGTGATGCAGAGACGTAGTTGCTGCTTGCAGTAGAAAAGCTCCAAAGTAAAAGACAAAAGTAGCCCCATGGAAAAGAAAATCCTGAAAAGCAAATAACAGAATCAGTCTGGGCTGCAATACATACCTAATTCCTCTAGTCTCAGTACAAATGAAACCCAACACTGAAACATGAAATGAGCACTGATAACAATAAATTTAGATAATCAGGGTTAAATCTGACTGAGAGCTTAATCTGGACATGTTTTCACAACTGTGTGCAATCATAAGCAACTCACTGTCATAATTAGTGATAAAGGACAACTCTCCCTCTTCCCAAACCCTACATTCTTTCAAATTAATAGCCACGTGCTCATCTATATGTACATATGCTGAATTTTCAGATCACTTTAAAGCTACTACAGCTTACGGAACCCACCCTTCATAGAGCTTAGATAAAAAAGGGGCACACAGGCCAACTTTATCACAATTTAAGCGGTAACAATACAAGCTTGCAGTCCCCCAAATCCCTTCTCAGCTATAACCCAAGTTCCAGAAGTCCCCCTCCACGCTTAAATTTTGCTTCTGTAAATGCCCTGACACACCTCAGCCTTGACACAGCTGAAGTTTACTTCCTGATACAGAGTCCAACTGAGGCATTTTCTCAGCTCTGTCTTGGTTCTATCCAAAACAAAGTAATCTGGAAGTACTACATGATACTGTAGAATAAAATGCCTGAGAGAACAGGAGTTAGGATTTACTTTAAATATGCTTCTCCCCTGGCCTTCTCTAGGTGATTCCCTCTTCTGCGGTAAATGCTAGCTAAACACAAGGTTTAAACATCTCACTTTAATTTCTGGATTCTATTACAGGGGCACAGGAAAAAGCAGCTCTGGTGCCTAAATCTCTTTGCAGGATGTATTTCAGTGTTCCACACAGCAAGATCCAAGACATGATCCAGTATAGTTTTAAAATGTCTAAAATATTTTTCCAACATCTCCTTCTGTTGTTGAGTCTGCAAAGCAGATGTCTGCACTGCACTCAGTTCCTGAGTCATAGCACAACATACGCTTTGTGCCTACACCTGTGCAGGTCTGCAAAAGCCATAGGCACAAGTTTTAAAACTGTACACCTGTATGCTTTTTTGACGATATCCACGTTATATAGTCTATCTCCAGCACTAATTAATTCTTTATGCAATTTTAATTAATTTGAGTGCAGTGGACTACCAGTATGCCAAGAGTGAGAAGCCAGGGTACATGTGTGAGTCCATCACAACAGCAGACAGCACGCATATGCACCAGAAATTACTATGCAACAGCCTTACCTACTGACTGATACCAAAGTGAGAACGTGCTGTATTTCCCTGTTTAGAGAATTGTTTCTTTGTAGATCTGAGATTTGCTTTTTATTGAAAGACTTTTCTTTTCAAATTCCTCAGTTGTTCCACACTTGATAGCAGCTAAAGCTACTTACATCACACCTTAGACAGTTCTGATAAGTTACAATATAAGCTGTTACTACAGCTTCCAATTCCACTTAGATCATGTAATAATTTTCTCTTAATTAAGAATCACTTGATCATTTGAGGTTAGGTCATAGAGTGTACTGCTTTTCTTAATGACTGCTAATTACTGGGAATACAAGTTTTGGCAAAACAGCTCCAGTAATTTCCAACTTCTGGTTTTCTACCCTACCTGTGTTTTTTTTTTTTCTTTCGTTTTTTAAAAACAATTACTTCCTCTTCAAGTATCACCAGGAAGGCTCCACTGACACAACAGAACTGAGCAGCTAAGGGGGCAGAGGGCGACCTAGCTGGACAGCCTTTATGTGCTAGGCTTGCCAGATGTCAAGCTTTGGGCATAAGAGACATTCCCTCAGTCTCCAACTCTTCTGTAACATGGATAGCTCATAATAAAAAAATAGTAGGGACCTACTCCAGCATGAGACCATGGAGCTGCAGCTGGGGGAGGTACTTCTTCCCACCAGACACTGTTGTGGCTTCTCCCACTCACTTGAGCTGGCAGACAGACTCGCCCATCTTTCATGCTACTGCCTACACGCACCATGCCAGGCTGGGTGCGGGCGTGTGTTCACTGCGTGACAAATACTGGACCCCAGATCATGGCCTGACAGACCCATTTCATAGCGCAGGATTCCAGCAACTTGAAAGGTCTGCGTAAACCCATGGGTAATCAAGGACATCCATTATTCTTGGGCTGCTAAAAACCTAACATGCAACTATGTCAGTGTTACCAGCCCTAAACTGTTGGCACCGTTGCTCGTAAAGGAGCACAAATAGCTCCATGAGAAAGACAGTGCTGACTGCATACAGGAGAGGTATTTTCAGAAGACAAACTCGTTCACTTCCTTCATTCTCCTGCCAAACCCTCTAATTTCCTTCTCCTAGCAGCAATTACAGTGAAGCTATGTAGCATCGGTAAGGTTTCACGTTTGTATGGATATGGTTTCTGTAACCAAAAGCCCCAAGATCTCAGGAGGGAGGGTTTTTAGTAATTGTTAGCATGGCACCTAACTCTCCCTTGCCTCCACACTTGTATAATCATTGAAACCTCATACAAAGTGTATGTAAAACACTACCAGATCTGCATGATATGTTAGTTCACATCTAATTTTGTAAATGAGTGTGTTGTGAGTCAGGCTGTAAAGGACAGTATTTGTCATACCATCTGGTTTAATACAGTGATGTAAAGAGAGCTATACCTCCATAAGGTCCATATTTTTTCCCCATATTTTCACTCTTTTTAAGTATTAGTATCAATGGAGCTACTTATGACATAAGGTGTTACTAAATGCAGGGCTGTCAGAATCCCACACTATTTTTCAAACTTACATTTAAACTCCTGGAGTCTTAAACCACGTTTGTTCATGAATCTCTACATGAAGCTATAGTACTCCAATATAATTAAGTCATGACTCTTCCTATTTTTGACCTAATCTAATGACCTGTAGCTTCTGAGTTCTACTGTAAATTTAAATTATGAAATAGCAAAACCCACGTATTTGTCTAAATACATGCCAACCTACACCAAACAGGTATACCGTTTTATTTTATGGTAATAAAAGTAGTTTCAGTGTTTCTAGTAATTATTTATTTGCAACAGAAGATAAAAAACTCCTTGTGATGTGCTGCTAAAGCATTTAGTGCCAACAAGTTACAGAACATCTGAGTACCTGAAAATAGTGGTCAAGTGATCTACCTAGTGTTATTTTTGTTGACAGCTGGAAGGGGCTGGATTTCAGCTACCATGTTAGAGATAAAATGATTCAATCTGCATTTATTTATGATGTTGACTTAGTTATCATGGCTTTTTAGATTAAGTTAGAGTCCCACATATGCAGGTTTTACACAAGTCATGTAGCTACTTCCTGCCACAGAAAGTTTTTCAGTAATTTATCATATAGAAGCAGACAAAATTAACAGTACAACAAATCACTGCCAGCATCGAGTAGCCAATGTGTAAGACACACAATCATTATAAGATGAACATCTGTATAGCATTTTCAATCTACAAAAGGCTATGCCCTCACCCAGCAACTCTTAAATAGATGCATGATTGTAAATTGGCAAACAGTTTCAATGAAACCCAGGACACTATTAATTTACTTAAGTTATGCACATGCTCAAGGGCTTTGTTGCATCATAACTTGTGAGGATGTCGCAGCATAAATCCCTGCAAAGGTCTCTGTAATTCTAACTCATTATTAGCCTAATTACTGCCTGTATTGTGCTGGAAAGCTGACACTGTATGTATGCGTACTCACTATCAAAGTGCTTAAGTTTTTTTTCAAAGAATCCAGTCTGTTACCACTGATGGGCTTTGAAGTTATCAGATAGAGCCCCAAACTCATGAAGGTCTATGATTTGCTTTAAGGGACTGTCCATGAATAACTTGAACAGATAAATAACCACAGATGTTGATACAGAAGCACACAATTCCAGCTATGATCAAGAAAAGTGGCAATAGGAAAACTAAGCTGCATGGGAGGAAGGTGAAAGTGATCAGTAGTTACAAACAGCCATACTTTAATATTTTAGAAGTTCTGGTCCTTTTGGAAGATTTTTTTGGAAATTGCCGTTCTGGTCATAGTTTTGCCACCTCTTATTATTCACTTCCAGTAACATAAGAAAGAGTGATACCATCTTGTGCTCAGCTACTTGAGCACTAAAATCTCAAAGTATAAAACAGTTAATGACAACAAAGGAGTACATAAATTAGCAGGCAATAACCTGAGGTACCATGTGGTTGGTAAAAACTGGAGCCAACAGCTTCCTTTTTTTAATAGGAAGGTACAGTCTGTGAGAACCACTGGCACAAGCCATAACAATCTGTTACAGCAAGAATCGAGTCTTGCCTTCACAATGAAAAAAAGCTGAGCAGAGTATGATACTGGTAGTCTCACCAGGCTTTCTCTAAGAAAGATAAATGTTAAGTCTCCTGAGAAGATGCTAAACTATATCATACTGCAGGTTATGCTGTCTTTGACTACCTAAGGTCTAACAACCACTCATCAGTGTTGCCCTAGCTTTAAGGAATTACCCCAAAAGTCAGCAGAAGACTGGAGAAGACTTCCTGGGTGCTTTAGTCCAGTCAGTGCTATCTCTGACAACCTCTTCACACCATGTTCACAAATGTATCACTTCCTTTACAATACCAGATGTATCCTTCTATCCCCTCATTATTCACAGGGTGTTACTTCTCTAATAGTCAGAAAATATTTTCCAATTTCCAGTCCACAATTACTTCTGGACATTTAAACCCATTTGTTGTCATGCCTTGTTAAACTAGTCCTCTTCCTGCTGCTCATGCACTCCATGTGCTCATAGAGGACAAGTACACTCCTTCAATCAGTTTCAAAAGATGGGTTCTTTCACCCTCCGTCATAAAACAGGTCCTGTATTTCCTCCATCATCTTTGTAGCCCTACCCTTTTTCCAGTTTTGAATTCCTCTGTTTTGAGAAACTTCCCACTAAAACAGAAGGACAAGCATTAAGACTTATGATAAGTACTTCTCATGAAATGATTTTCAGTGTATAAAACAAATGGACTCCTTAAATAAAGAAAAAAATCTTACTGTCTGGTTCCAGTTGACAGCAATTCTATTTGCATAACCGAAGAGGAACACACACAGGAACACAATGGACAGGAACCATGCAGTCACCGCTACAAACATGACCCATCCCTGCAGCAGTGGCAGTGGAACTCGGGTAGAAGCTACCAAAATCCAGACTATCGTTCCAAACAGCTGCAAGGAAAGGAATACAGATGATGAACTGGGAGATAACTTTTATTCAGTCCTTTCTGCCTAAGAACTAATATCACACATCAACACGTCCTCAGATTACTTTTAGGAACCAAGAGGAAACACTTCAAAAGTACTCAGGAAGCCCAAGTGCCAATCTCAGAAACGATAGGCACTAAGTGCCAGTAAGATGAAGCCACTCTGAAATTCTTAAAAGCTCTTAAAATAGTCTTGAAAATGGGATTTACAAACCCAGGTGACTTATGTGCTGCTGCTGAAAATTTTACCCTTACCTGCATTTTGAGGGAAATGCAAGAAATGTGTTCACACACACACACACGTACAAATCTCTCTCTATATACTAAAGTCAGCATGATGAGGACGTACATCAGATTTGGATTCAATCTCATACTGTTTAGTTTTGTAGTCCTAATCAAATAAGATACAGAAAACAGATGAAACTGCATCCAGTTTTTCAATGCCTTTGTAATAAAAAGCTGAAAGAAAACACATTAAGCAAGAAAGTGAAAGAAAAAACTAGAATACAGAATAAGGTGAGTTGTAAATTATGTTGCAATGACTAGAAAAATTACAGCTTTCCAGAATTATTATAACCTGGGGAAGAATTCAGCACCACCAATTTCCTTTTCAGCATACCGTTTGCAGCAAATGAGTGGTGGGATGCTGTGCTACGATGGGCCGATGGAGAATTTACGTACTCTAAGGCTTGCCTGGCTTAATCAACTCTTGGCCTAAGGAAGGGTACCATTTCTCCATGCAACTCCTGTCTCTTTATAAAAAAGGATAACTGGAGAAAATCATTTATTAGAGAAAAATTTAACTTCATAATCCAACCTGCTATGTAGTGACAGCTACAATCAATTTCCAACCAAGTTACTACTTTCCCATTTAAATTGTACAGATTTACAACTACAAAGTCAGAGGTTACATTTTCAGATTCAGAGAGCTTTCTTTTGAATCAAGGTTGGATGAGAGATACCTTTCAAAAGGTGCCTGTTATAAAATGAGTTGGTTCCTCTCTCGTGTTACATTGCAACAGCTTATATGTAAATATGTATTGCTAGACTCAGTTCAAAGCTCCCAAGGGTTTATGTATTAGACTTCAGGTTGTTCTCTAGGGTTCCCTTTTTGGCTGCTGTGACGAATCAAACTTTTTATAGTTTCACAAGACTGCAGGTGCAAGTCTGTTACTCAGAGACCAGATATTGATGGGCAGTGAGGAACCAGAAGGGATAGCAGAAAGTGTCTGTTAAACCAAGAGCAGATACATGAAATGTCAGTATTTTGAATGTGCAACCCCATAGACTTTAAAAATAAATTTAGAAATCAACCGTAGAAACTGCTCATCTCAGCGCCCACTGTTGTGCCATTTACCTCATACTACACCTGTCAACCTCAGCTCGGCTGTCAGATGTGTAATAGGTTGGCCAACCTAATTAACCTTTTGTCCCTACTGAGTCAGGGCCTGATTTAGTGCCCGGACTTGTGCTCTGAGCTCTTTGCTCGGGTGCAGTTTTACAGCTTGGAGGGTGGGATCCATCCCACAGACTGGAACCCAGGAAGTATTCTGCTCTAACCCCCCCCCAAAAAAAAAAAAATTAATAAAATCAGATGAGTTTTGTCAAGGTGTGTTGTTGTGTTTGTTTTGCTTTGGTTTTTTTCCCTCCTACTAATTAGCTCTGCAGACTCTCATATTCAGCCTTAGTGGTATACTCTGTGTACACCAGTGAGGTTTTACGTGCACATAAGATTAAACATACTTGCAGGTGTCTGCACAGGACCAGTAACACGCACAACAGAGAAAGAAGAGTGCGGCTCTTCCCGGTGGGGTTTCGGGTCTGAGATTCCGCGCGGCCCAAAGTCCTCGGCAGCTTCGGCAACCCCCGTGAGACCCACCCCCGCGGGGCTGCAGGTGCCGCCGGGCCAGGGCAGGGGGACGCGCCGCCATCGCCGCCCGGCCCGGGGTGAGCAAACACGCCGGGCAGGGCCGGAGGGAGCGGGGACGGGTCCCGCGTCCCATCCCGGACCCCGGCCCCGGGGCTCCCTCCTGCCGCAGCCTCAACCGCCCGCACCTCTCCCCCTCACAAAATGGCAGGTGAGGAGCAGGGCGACGCGAGGCTGCTGCTCGGCGGTGTGTCCCGTGTCCCGTCCCCCCTCCCCGGGAGCCACCGCCTAGGCGGGAAGGAGACGGGCGCTGGGCAGCGGGGCACCGAGGAGAGGGAAAAGCGCGGGAAGAGCGGCGGCCGCCCGCCCGCCCGCCCGCCCACCCCCCGCACTCACGATCTCCAGAAAGATGACGGCTCCCGAGTAGGTGCGCAGGATCTCCAGGCCGGAGGGCAAAGTGACCCGGGGGGGCGGGAAGTAGGCGGCGGGGTTGGGAGGCGGCGGCATGGACGAGGCTCCCCTGGGCAACATGTTGCTGCGGCGGCAGCTGCCGAGCGCGGTGGGGACGGGCCGAGCCGCGGCCAGATGGGCGAGGAGGAGGAGGAGGAGGAGGAGGAGGAGGAGGAGGAGGAGGAGGAGGAGGAGGAGGAGGAGGAGGAGGGAGCAGGTGCGGGCGAGCCCGTCTCCACCGCCGCGGCCACCTCCCTCCTGCCCGCCCCAGCGCCCGGCCCGCCCCGCCGCGCCCGGGCCTGGGCGGGCGGCCCCGGGGGGCCGGGGGGGCGGAGCTGCGCCGCTCCGCCGCGCCCGGCCGGGGCGCCCTGCGCGGAGGCCGCGGCGGGGGCCGGGGCCGGGGCCGGGGCCGGGGCCGGGGCAGGTTCTCGGGGCTGGGCGCTGTGCCCGGTGTCGGGGCCGGGCTGGAGGGCGCTGCGCCCCGGGCCGGGCCTTGCGGCTGCCCCGGGGAGCCGTGCCCCGGCCGGCCGGGGGCTTTCGGCTTCCCCGGGAGCGTCGGCACTGGAGCGCAGCGCTCCTCATTCACAAGTCCTGAGTCAGATGCCGGCAGGCTTAGGGCGATATTTCCTAACGCCAGTTTGCAAAAGGTTGGGTTTTACCTTCTGGTTACAGATATTTGAAGCTTCCAAACAAAGGAGGTTTCACCTTCTTTTTTTTTTTTTTTTTTTTTTTTCTAAGGAACCTACTAGGTTACCCATTAAAAATACCAAAAACAGTTCACGTATGTCTTCTTTTCGTTCAATCTGACTCAACCTTGTGTTACAACTACTTAAAAGTAACAGAAAATGTTTGTTTGGTGTAAAAGTTGGGAGTAGGTGAGGGTCTGGAAAAGTTGGGAGTAGGTGAGGTACCAGTTCATCAGGCCACTTGCAATGCTTTTTTCTCATGCTTCTTTGTGTAAACATCTTCACTAGATGAAGGTTGTGGCATCATCTGGCATTTTTGTTATTTCTCCTTCTGTGGCTTAGGATGGGGCATCCTATCGCTGAGATGACTAAACACTGTTTCATCCAGCGTTATCCCATGCAGTGTTTCTGGGTGTTTATCCCCAACGTACACAGCTGCAATTTTAAAGTTTACATTTTAAGAAGTTTTCATGAAGTGTGTGCATCTGCTCTGGAGGTTGAATCAGCTCAGGAATTAACGTTGTATTCCTTTATTTTTACATGCGTGATGTTTCTCAGTTGTGCTTTTGTGATGACAAGAAATGCCACAGCCTTCCCTGCTTCCCCAACCCAGCTCAGCCAGGAATTCCCCATCTCGTCTTCCCCATCCCAATCCATGCTCTAGGTGGAGAGCAGTTGGCTCCTCTAAATGCAACTCACCTGTTCTTCCAGCATACTTAGTACATAAGTAGGTTTGGGACGCTTCTAAAATGCAGTAATAGCCACTTAGCTTTGAAATCACAGCTTCTAAAGGAGGAAGAAGCAACAGTTTGTATTCTTTCTAGTGTTCTCTTTTTGTCCCTATATTCCTAAGGATGCCTCTTGCACTCTTCAGAAGTAGGAGATGGGGGATTGAATCCTCATTAGGCTAAGGAAGGCACTGAGCTTGGCCTCCCCTCTTTTCTGAGTGCTTTACCCCATTGGTTATCAGACGATATAGTATTCATCCTCTAGATCTATTTTAAAAGTGAACCCATTCATTTATCTTCAGGGAAGAGCTCCAAGCTCTGGAGGTGCATGCTTACAGGGCCCGATTTGGGTGTGTTTTGGCAGGGAATGGGGTTCAGACTTGTGCCTAAGCGATTAGGTGTAGGTGGTTTGTTCTTTGGGTTGCATTCTGGAGACTGTATGTCCAATTAATTTCACAGTCTGGCCCTAAATCTGTTGAGACTGCCCTGAAGAGGGAGAAATCTGAGTGGGTGGAAAACTAGGTTGATCAGTTTATGATTCAGAACAAGAAATGTCATTATCCTTATCTTATACTGAGGAAGTACAAATAACATTTGGTCATAAACATTTCCAGTTTTATTATCCAGCCATGCAATTAATCTATGTGAATTCCAGCAGCACTGGATTTTACTGACAATTATGTACCATGTGTAGTCATTTTTATTGCTTGTAGATACGATTCATTTTAACCTACACATTCCTTTTAACACTGATTTTCTTGAATTTTAGTAGGTTTTCACAATAAAGTCTAAATTTCACTGTAAGATATATGTACACACTACAGATTTATGGCAGTACTTTTTCCTAAATCCTAATCATTTGAATGAAAGTAGCTGTGTAAATTATCTTTACTGTGTTTGGCAGAATGCATGACAACGCCATGTGGGATTCTTTATATGCTGATTTATATACTGTTTGAATCTTTAAAAATCTGGATTCTTTAAAAGATTACTATCAGGATTGCATTTTAAAGTTTCTATGGCAAAAGCACTTGTTTGTGTTGGACTGCTTTTTAATAGCATTTTCTTGTAACTAGTTGCATCTTGGCACCTTAAAGGGTAAACTAATGATGCTGCTTCAAGTCCACCAGAGTCAACAAGTAGACAGAAGTATATTGATTCGCTGTACATAGGAAGGTCTGTCTATACAACCAGGAGGACTAAAAACTTATCTTAAATAGCTGTTACATAAAATCCAAACTCTTTCCCCTTATGGCAGTCTAACGTAAAGTTGGCATTGTCACAGAACTACAAACCCGGTTGCTATCATTTTTAGATGATAAAAATTATTGATGATTTAAGTTCCAAGTATAGTGATGTAATATGTGCATAACTTTAATATAGAGAGAAATTAAAATATCTCATTCTGAATGTTGTAATTCTCTACCTCCCCCAAATGACCAACCATTAGAAAAATGCATTAAACTATGAAAATCTGTAGCCAGCTATTAACTGTCACATACAAGCTTTAGGGAGTAGAAGACATAAATTAATATTTTGAAAAACCATAGATATACATCATGCTGGATATGAAAATTACTTATACAGCAGTCCTATATAGCAAGATTCAGACTATCTTTTGTGATGTATGGCATGACACTTCTGGAAGAGTGGAATGTTTTTAAGGATACCAGAGTAATAGGTAAAAGCAATGTCAATATAAGAATTCATGGTCCTTAACACGTTATCTGAATGTGTTATCAGAAGCACCACTGGAACCAAATGTAACTCTGCTAATCTCATGTCTCCTGTTGCTGTGTGCACAAAGGTGGTCTGCCAAAATGGCCAAAGGGGTGGATAGTTTAAAAACAATAAATGACAGTAACCCTATTCTATATCCATGTGGCTCTGTTTATGCACAGACAGATGTGCACAAACAGATCTCCCTAAGCTGGAGCAGACCTGAGCAGGGTTTTTCTGATAGTATCAGGATCTGCTTCTTTCTTCCAGTTACTGTCTTGATCTGGAGGAAGTTGCCCCCAGAAGCCCTCTGTGTTTCTTTTAGATTTGCAAAGCTGCTTGCTCTTAAGAAGAAACACAGACGCTCTTAATCACATAGTTACATATCAGAAACAGAAAGCCTGAAGTTGATTGTATAAAACACAGACTGTTTTTTTTATGGATGATTTAATTTAACATACTCCTGGAAATTGCATGCAAGATTCTCACACTGGTCCAAACTCGGGAGTCATCCCCCTTTAGCCAGTGAAATTAAATAGACATAAAAATGGTTTGCATAAGATGAATGATAAGGAAACCCTTTAACGTCATTTGTATAGTGTATTTACTCAGTGGTAACAGAACTTTAGTGTCATGGTCACCACATTGAGGTTTCTTGGGAGGCAGTGGCAGTTTTTATTTTAACAGGCAGGACCCAGCTTTTGATTGCCTGCTGCCCCTTCTTGCATCATCAAACTAAGGGAAAAGTAACTGTTGAAATCAGTCTCTTGATTCACTTAAACTGAGCTTGGGATGCCTGCCGGAAAGACGAGGTGAAGATAAATGTGCCACCTCTGTGGTCAGCCAGTCCCAGGGATGGCTGGTTACCACATCAGTCCCTGGAGCAGCTTAGAGCAGTCTCAGAGCTGCTCTAAGGAGTGATTTCTGGCTGGTGTGTGAGGCTGTGGTGGTACTCTGGGTATGGCCTCTTCCCACAGAAGTGTCTTTTGTGCCCAGAGCTGGGAGAGGAAAGGAGTTGACCTGGCTGCCTTGGCTCTCCAGGGTTCCAGGTTGCCTTTTAAAGCAAGGAACCGTATCTGGCTGGTTAAGGGAGTTTGAGGGTCCTTTCATACAGGCACCACACAGCTGGGAGGCTGCTGTCGAGCCAGAGACCCTCCTTGGTGGGGTGTGCTGGTGTTACTGAGAGCAGAATGAGGTCTCTGACCTGTTCCAATAACATTTCCATGCTCCTAAGGATGCCAACACTTAATTTGTTTGACTTGGTGGCACTGCAGTTCTTTAGCAGTATATTGGCCCTTTTAGCAGTCAAAGGGCCAATTCTCCTTTCGTTTACACTGAGAAATTCCTCTTAGATGTGTGAGGGTACAGTAAAGGTAAAAATGCAAAATTTCATCATAGCAGAGAGGAGGATCCTGAACTCATATGTTGCAGGAGGCTGGGTGGGTAGAGAGGGACATGACAGAGCACAGCAAAGTTACCAAGCAGGAAAATGTTGCAAGAATTCAATGTGGCACTCTTGGCATAGGTGAGCCAGCAGGAAAAAAGGGTTGCATGGATTGTCCCCAGCAGAGAATGGGAAAGTCTTGGAGGTACAAACTGGAGCATAGTATTCTTGTAGATGAGGGATGAGTAAATGGCACTGGTTATTTAAGACAGAATTGCCCAGGGAAAGCGGTGCGTGGACTGCATAGCAGTAACACTGAATGGTTTTTCTCCCCTGCTCCACTCCTGCTCCATGGTGAAAAAGAGAAACAGTTCAGCTGGTTGCAGAGGAAACCAAATTCAGCAGGACAGGCAGGAGGATGTGCCGAGTGCTGCCGATGCAGGATGCAGCAAGTGCCGTGCTATTAGTACTTCTGGTAGCGTGGGGCTCTTCTTATTTTGTCATCAGTCAGGGCTTGACGTGCCAACCTTTAATCATAACGTGTTGGTCTCCGAGTTTATCTCTTGTTTGTCAGGAGCATGTATCTATTGTTTTGATGACCTATCAGTGCTGACAGGGGGTCATTTTTTTCCCTCACTTGCAGTTTGTT